AAGTGTTCTGTTACCTTGCGTTCTGTCTAGTTAGTTCTACAGCTTGCTGCGTAGCTCCCATGCATATCAAGGGATGTCTACTACTGCTCTCTCTCTCTCTCTCTCTCACTTGCTCGATGATAATGAAGTCGCCTTGAAGTTAAAGTTGAATAAACTTTCAAAAGTTGATGTTCTTCACGTGACTCTTACGTAATATCTGACTAACAACCTTATCACTTCCTCACTTTTTTAGCAGCGAAAAAAAAGCAGCCAAAAAAGCTCCGCTTGTCGCGTCGAAATCACGACGAAGAAAAGCAGGCAAGAAAGACGCAAGAAAAGAGAGAAAGAGAAAAGATCAAGTTAGGCGGACAGCCAGATCACCCTCTGACTAAGCAACTACCTTTCGCCCACTTCGCCCACTTCGCCCACTCCCAGCCTTAGCCTAGTCTTCTTCTTACTAGCTAGATCACTCACCCCTTTCTGCGCGCATATATTAAGCTTGCCCTGCCCGCCTGCGCCCGCCTGCAACTTTTGCACTTTTACAACTCTCTCTCTTCTTCGCCTGACGACACTCGACATCGCGAGCTGCCACGTTACGCGTCTGCTTTTATCGACTTTTTCTTCATCGCGTTTATCGTCTTTACTCTCAAACATGACTGGACGTAAGTATCTCTTCTCTCGCTGATGGCATGGTCGTCGTCGTCGTCGTCGTCGTCGTCGCTGGTGGTGGTGGTGGTTCGTGATGGTCGTTTTGGTGGTGAGGCTTGGCGGTGCAAGTCGCCACTCAGGCCATTGCATGTCGCGTCCACCACACGACCATCTACTTACCTTGCCTATCTACCCTTTTATATATTCCTCTCTATGCTGTCGATGAGTATGCTGACTCCCTGCAGGTGGAAAGGGAGGCAAGGGTCTCGGCAAGGGCGGCGCCAAGCGTCACCGTAAGATCCTCCGCGACAACATCCACGGCATCACCAAGCCCGCCATCCGCCGTCTCGCTCGTCGTGGTGGTGTCAAGCGTATCTCAGCCAGTAAGTCTCCCACTTGACTGCGACTGCCCTATTGTGAGAGTGTCCTGCTAACTTCTCCAGTGATCTACGGCGAAACCCGCAACGTGCTCAAGTCCTTCTTGGAGTCTGTCATCCGCGACGCCGTCACCTACACCGAGCACGCTAAGCGCAAGACCGTCACATCCCTGGACGTCGTCTACGCTCTTAAGAGACAGGGCCGTACCCTCTATGGATTCGGTGGATAGAGCGTCAATCAGTCAATCAGACTATCAGACATTCAGAGACGGATGGAGTTTTATTTTGCCTTTTTTATTTCACACTACTCTTTAATTCGGAAGTGGGACGGACGGGTGGACTGGGTGGGCTGGACGGGTTGCTGCATGGTTCCTTTGCGCTCTAGCTATGTTACTTACACAATGGAGTCTGGTTATCTTGCCCTTTAAACTGTTATCCTTGCTGTCTTTTATCTTTTAATCTTTGATTGTAGCTGCAGCCGAGGCACGCTTACCTCATCAACGGACAAAAGATAGTCCGTCGATGCTGACTCATCTTACCCCAGAGCACTAGTCCCCTTCTGGAAGACGCCAAGCCCAACCTAAAACACGCCAAAGAAAAAGGAAAAAGCAACTTCATCTCGTCTTTATCACGACCAAGAGGACCAAGTCAAGGGTTGACCAGGACGACTGGGTCGACCAAGAGACGAGAAAGCCGGAGCTGGAGTCGCTGGACGCTCGACAGGGACAGGCCCGCATGCACCCCAGCCAACGCGGCCAATAACGCTGATCAAGGAGGTATATCTTCCGCCTCTTAAGGTGGCCATCCAGGGGACAAGCATCGCCCTATGCGCCAGCCGCGGACGTATAATATATATAATTCTTGCTTAGGTTACTCCAACGACATCTCCATATGCTACTTACATCACTAGCCCACTGGGAAATAGCTGTGAAGAACATGTGCGCGGGAAAAGGTCGTATGTAAAGTTGTTGCAGAAGCCCACTCGGAGATGGCCCTTCTCCTCTTTTCGCTCCCCCCTTCTGCTGGGGTTAAAGTGACTGATCGTCGGCCGCAGGAGTGATCGTCATGCTACCTCGACTACTTCCACCACTTGTTCATCCCGGCCTGAACCGAAGCTGGCGAGGAGTCAATTCAACTAAACGGAGCCAACTTACGCAGTACGGAGTAGTCACTTATTGCTCTGCGAGTCAGTCATTTTAGTCACTACGGAGTACTCTGACTATTGTACTGGGGAGTCATGGATGGAGTCAGCTTTCCGATGGAGCATTGCTGCTGGAGTGAAATTGGCCAAGAAGTGTCATGTCAAGCTGGGACAGGCGTTGACGGCAGAAATCACTGGCTGAAACGTGTTCCATCGCGAGTTTTTCCTCAACTCACCCTGCTGCCTATTCCTCCGTATTATCCTTTGGAACCGTCGTTCCGTACATGCGAAGCATGCAGCACGCCAAATTAAGCAAGACGGCAAAACTGCGTGGACTTTGGGGAAACCCTGACACCATCTCGTCTGTCCCTTTGCTGTACTGGGCCGATGTCTTGGGTGATTAACTATGTGATGTATGCAGACAAACACCAGCTGATATTCCCATGGCGGTGATGTGCCTGAAGATACCCACGGGTAGTCATGGATATTTTTCTATTATATCATGACGTCTGCCTTACATGATATCCCCCATGCTCATTTCACTTGTCCAGGGAGCTGCGGAGAACCCATGGCGGGTAGACTTTTTGGCGTTGGCAGATCCTGTTCTTTTTTAACGCCCAGCCTTCCTTTTCGTGGGGAAGTCTTTGACGTTTCTGGAAATGGAAGCGCAGCTTCGTGCCTTGTGTATGGTTGGATGAGAAAACGACGATCAGGGCCCGGGCGGGTGAGGACGGACAGGCTGCTGTCCCATTCGTTTGTCTTATCTTTCGCCTTTTTGCTCATCACCCGCTGATACCCTAAAACGAGGCCGAGGGAAACGAGGGAGCCTAAGATGAAAGGGTCGGAGGTCGTTGTATATATAGCCTGTCCCATCTCGCTGTTTGGATATTCTTTTTTCGCTGACTCTTGAAATTCATCCCCCCATCCATCTTCTCTCTTCTCTCTCTTTTTTTCGGTTTTTCTTCTCAAGTCGGTTTAATTCTTCTGTCTGTCATCATGAAGGTCCTTGCTGCCCTCGCGCTGAGCGCCCTGGCCATGGCCAAACCAACTCCTCCCATGCTGGGCATGTCTTTGGTCCAGACTGGCCCCCAGGAGACTCGCTGGGTCACCGCCAAAGAGAAGCATGACATGGTCATGGTGAGTCTTGCTACATTGCTTACATATATGTATATTCTAACTATAATGTAGAACCACGTTGGCTTCTTTGACATCACCAACCGACCAGAGACCGCCAGCATTGCCTCCAAGCCCAAGAGCTATGCTTTCCCTGGCAATGTCAGCCACCAGGCCGAGGTCAAGCCTCTGATCGAGAAGATCTCTGCCGACCACATCAAGGCCAACCTCGAGAAGTTCTCCAGCTACCCCAACCGCTACTACAACGCCCAGTCTGGCGTTGAGTCCGCCCAATGGGTCATGGAACAGGCCCAGATGATCGTTGGCAACATCCAGGGCGCCAAGGTCGAGATGGTCAAGCACGACTGGATGCAGCCCAGCATCCGTGCCATCATCCCCGGCAAGTCCGAGAAGATCGTCGCTGTCGGTGCTCACCAGGACAGCATCAACGGCAACAACCCCCAGGGCAAGGCCCCAGGTGCCGACGACAACGGCTCCGGCTCCATGACCATCCTCGAGGCTCTGATGGTCCTTGTCTCTGACCAGAAGATTGCTGGCGGCGAGGCTGCCAACACCCTTGAGTTCCACTGGTACGCCGGTGAGGAGGAGGGTCTGCTCGGCTCTCAGGACATCTTCCAGCAGTACAGCCAGGAGGGCAAGGAGGTCGTTGCCATGCTTAACCAGGACATGACTGGCTACGGCGAGACCATGGGCGTCATCACCGACAACTCCGACCCCAAGCTCACCAAGTTCACCAAGATGATCCTCGACACTGTATGTTTATCCATCTTGATTTTTATGGTATAATGCTAACGATGGTATTCTAGTACACCTCTGCCAAGTACGCTGACTCCGAGTGCGGCTACGCCTGCTCTGACCACGCCTCTGCCAACAAGGCCGGATTCCCATCTGCCTTCGTCTACGAGGCTGTTGTCGGCCAGGACAACCCAGCCATCCACTCCCCCGACGACACCATCGAGAAGCTCGACCCTGCCAAGATGGCCGAGCACGCTAAGCTCGTCGTCGGCTTCGCCTACGAGCTTGCCTTTGCTACTCTGTAAATTACACGCATAGACTGAGAAGATGTGACGATGTGGTGATGATGCTGCAGGGGGATTAGAACAGTCCGCTTTGATAGCGGCCTTGGTATGGACATGACATGATAGTTGGGGGGCATGTGTGTTCATATCTGTACATAGCTATATTACTGGACATATATATGTAAACCAAAACCGTTTTGATCCATGTTTCCTCTCTTACGCCGTCTTATACCTCCACTGACTCTATAGTTGATATGCAGGCTGGCCGAACTAGTGACTGAAGCCGCTTACATCATCGCGAGCTTATTCCAACTTTCGGCCATCAAAGCGACGCCGACTTCAACTTTGCTTCCATTCCTGCTTGCTGACGGTATCTCCATAAGTTATCTATGGCTGATGTATAGCACGAGCTTGTCCATCTAGATCGATCATGGTACGTTATGACGTTGATGCTGTTCGGGGTATACATACTCATCTAACTGACGAGCGTACAGAACGACCTCCGCAGCTACGATCTATATACCTCCCTCGTATCCCACAGCGACTCCATCACCTCCGCATCCAACACCCTCACTGAGGGAACGGCTATCGCCCTCTCCACGGCCCTGCTGTACCCATTAGACTCGATACTTACCCGTCTACAAGTCCGATACGCCTCCCAGCACCACGCTAAGGAAAGCAACCGAGCCCGTACCAGGAAGCCTCTAGATGTACTTGGCGATATAATTGACCTAGCAGCCAAGAATGTCAAGGATGCAGAGGCTAGAGCGGTGCTGTACGCCGGCCTGCGTGAAGCAGTATGCAAGCAGACGCTGGAGAACATGCTTGTTCCAGCTGTTTATGCGGCGTTGCATGCTCGACAGCTCAACCTTGGACGGACAGTAGGGAATGAACTGGTCCTCTCCATCGTCTCAATGGCGTTCGTCAGGCTGCTTACCGAACCTCTTGGGACGATTATGGTGCGCAGACAAGCTACGGGGTCTAGCACTCGGTGTGTTGTGGATGATGTACTGCGTCAGAAAGGCGTGGGAGGGCTATGGTCTGGGTACGGGGCTACGCTGGTGCTGAGCGTGAGATCGTGTGTCTTGCCGGTGGTATACCTTGCGCTACGCAGAAGGTTGGGGTTGAAGAGAGGAGGACTACTGGGCATGCTTGTTCTGAGGGCCGTTGCTGAAACCGTTGTGTATCGACTTGCTGTCTTGCAGTGCTGTGCGAGGGCGGGTGTGAAGGCAGTCGGGAAAGGAAGTAAGTTGATCTTGCCTACATGAATGATTATACTATCTGTGTTCTATACTATTTGTCTGCTAATGGTTGTCTAGGCCTGATGTTGGAAGTGATACGCACCCTGTCCAGCCAGGGAGTGAGGACTGCGACATCTGACTTTGTTGCTGTGGCGATGATGCGCTTGTCTGCTGCGATGCTGTACATGCTAGAACCGCTCCTGCTGTCTGAACAAGCCATTACAAACTCGGTTCGTGAGAATGTGGATGCAGGGGCGAATCAGCCGCTACTTGACGATGCAAAGTATATGAACAACGCCGTTAAGCGGGCTATCAGCATCGTGAATCGCGGAATCGGCCTGGCGAGTCACGGTAGGGATGATGTCGCTGTTGCTGAGCTCGTGGGTGACTACGTCGAGGACGGCCCGGAAGATGGATAGCTCTCTGGGTCAGATTTACTGCTATCCATGGTAGGTTGTGTGAACTATGTTTGGGCACGGCATAAATCAAGGGAGAAATGACGACAACAATCAATGGCTTGGATGCATGTTTGGAGAGTTTGCAGTCAACTCTTTTCTATACATACTGCGTCTTACGATTATGCATCTGACGTTTACATATCGTCATCTGCCTTGCTCCACGAGATATGCATCACGATCGATTCGAGAGATACTATCACCATGCCTTTTGCGACGCCATACTATATGCCTTTAAGGGTATATCTTTGTCTACTCCAAGCAGATTCCTGAATATAAAGTACTAACTGATCGCTAGAAACTCGAGATCGAGGATGACCCCGACAAGACACCAACGCAGACTCCTCGCAGGATGCCGCCGGTTCCCGACCTCAAACCCCTGGACGATGATGCTGAGGACCCCAGACCGCGTCCAGACGTCAGATATATGGTTGCTCAAGGCAAGCATGCAGAGCTACGGGCCCTCAGTTATGCTATTAGAAATGGGCACCACGAAGACTATTCCTTTGATAATGAAGACCTGGATGCGCTCGTGGCTTGGGAAGATGAAGAGGAAGCGCTAGGCTATAAGGAACCCCCGCCCGTGTATCATGAAGCAGATGCAGTGAATGAATGCAGAGAAGCAGAAAGGAGGAGGAGGAAAGAAGAAAAGGCGAAGAGGAAGAGGGCCGCCTTTGAGAGCTCGACTGGCTGGCTGTCGACCAGAGCTCTGCTCGGCCTGTCCGCTGCCTGCCTTTCGATAGCCCTGGTGCTGTGGATGATATTCTGGGTGACAGCCGATAACCACATGCTTGTACTCATCCTCTTTGTATAACCATCTGTCTATCCCTATCTATCTATCTATCTTGTATAAAATGCATCTTCTAGTCTTTTTGTATCCTCGTAATCCCGATCCAGCTCAGCCACAACGCCGCCACCGGCTGCACCCCAGAAGCCCAGAAGCCCAGAAGCAACAACGAGATGAAGCAGTTTCAAGGCTCGCCCAGGTCGCCATTCAAATAACTGCACGACGCCGGCATCGCAACCGCCCGCAACCTCTCGACACGCTGACCTGCCAGGCTGGCCCTGGTTTTGCTTCTTCCTCTGCCCCGATGCATGTTTAATAAACCCGCCGTCCTTTTGTCTCAGACCCAGCGAGCACCCGCGGCCAGCGCCCTGCCTGCAAGACCGGCCCCGCCCAGCTCGAACTGCGAACTGCTCTATATAAACCTACAAACCTGTCTGCTGCGTCTCTTCCTCCTGTTTCGCCCTCTGCTGGATGCCACGGGAGGTTTCGGCGAGATGGCGCTGCTGCAGAACGAAGAGTGAGCACACCCTTTGCGCCGCCGGGCGACGAAACAAAGCTACGAGACTGATAGTGAGACCGACTGACTGACTGACTGACTGACTGACTTGCTGGGACGCAGGTTCACCATCTGGCAGCTTCGCACCTCGTACCTGGCTACGATCAAGGACGGCGTAGGCGACCGGCTCATCAACGTCAACTCCTCGATCCTCAACTCGCCCTGCTTCCGCTCGGCTGGGTGGTCGGCTACAGCGGACCCCAACGCAGCCCATATCAAGCGGACGCACTCGCCGCCCATACCCACGGCGACGACGGTGGGGGAGCAATATGCTGGATCTGGGTCTCAAAGTACTGCGCGGCGAGGGAACGGGAGCGGGAGCGTGACTGTGAGGAATGAAGTCATTACGAGAGAGGGCAGCTATGCTGGGGAGGATACGCTGCAGCTGGGGAACAGGCGTGGAACGGCAGCGGATGAAGATGACGATGAAGAGATCACACTGAACACGGAGGGGATTACGGGCTTGGGGTTTTCGAATATCATGCGCCAGACACACAAGAAGAAGAGCAGCCAGACGGATTTGAGACGGCGAGGGAGACAGAAGGTCTCGAGACGGCCTGTTACTCCAGGCGAGGCCGAGGAGGATAGCAGCGATCTCAGCGATGAGAGTGATGAAGAAACATCTAGACAGAGGTGATATATATACACAGCTCTAAGTGGCATGGTGGTATCTATGCTAACGTCTTGCTGGCAGGGCTATGAACCAGATACAGTTTACGAAAATGCCTGTTCGACACCGGGCGGATTCCTCGCCCATCAGAGGCTCAGAGCACCAGGGCGGCCCGCGGGTACTGATAACTTCGCCGTCTCTACGGTCGGTGGACAATCGGTTCCGAAGAAGCTCGCTGGGGGCCGTGGAAGCCATCAAGTCTCGGGCCAGACGAGACACAACTACAAGCAGTGACATGTCGTCTGATATCGAACTAGATCCCGAAGCCATGAAACGACGGCAGATAAAGTTTTCTAAACATGAGAACGAGACGTTTGTCCCGCGGGAAGAGGACGAAGACGCAGAAAGCGAGAAGTTAGAAGAAGAAGTTGAGATGGAGGCTGAGCTGGCGAATGGAGGACTAGGAGTGCGCCGGGATGAGCATGAACATGACGACGACTCGATTGCCGGGTCCGTTGAGTCTGCTATATCTTCGGACTTTGGACATACGGCTGGCTCAGGCTCGTTGTTAGGCCGGGGTGGACTGGGTGCTTCGTCGCCCTTGATATTGAACAAGATACCCAAGTCAGGCGGTAGTGGGAATGCAGCGCCGTCCGTATCGGCTACGGCCTCGGGAGCAGCATCAGCAGCAAATACCTCGCCGAGAAAGGATAGGGATGCAGGGACGAGTACGCCAGCGCTGCCTCGATTACCGGCTGCACAGGCAATCACACCACACCCAGAGCCCGTCAGTCTGCTGTCCAACATGCTGAATGCGCGCAAAAAGGCGCCAGAGAACCCGATGGAGAAGTATGCTGCTCTGTCGGGCAAAGGATCGTCGGAAACACCGCTGTATATCAAGCTGTATACGCCCGGTGCTGAAGACCCGGAAGAGCCCATGGACATGCCCCTGACCAAGGACACCAAGGACGGCGACCACTCACGGCCCGTCACTGTTGCAGAGGCTATTGGGCTTGCTCTCTGGCGGTATACGGAGGACAAGATCCAGCCTGCCATTGACGCATCGAAACTGGGGGTGAATTACTGGAATCTTCGCATGGTTGAGGATGGAGAAGTTGACTATGACTTCCCACCGTTAGCCAGGAAACGGCCGATTACAGACTTTACGTCGAATAACAACCGGGCAGCCGGGTTCAGAGGCCGGTCGAGAAGCAAACCGTACGATGAGTTTGCGCTGGTAGAGGCCTCGCCTGCTGAGTTTGCTGAGAACGAGGCTGCGTGCCCCGGGGATAGCATAGCCGTACCGGAGGCCTCTACACCTACGGCTGCACCAACGGAAGCAGCAGCAAATGCACAAGGAGGAACATCTGCCGCACCAGGTCTGCCGGCAAACCACATCAAGGTGGCCATAGGCGGACGCATGAACCCGATCCTGGGCCAGCCATTCAGCTCTGCGCTCAACGACAGCTCGCTGCGGCCCGCCGACCTGCCGGCCATCCCTACGATGCAGGCCACGCCTCGCCTGGGCGTATCAACCCAGCTGAAAGTGCGATATGTCGACCTGGAGGCATCCACACGCACCACAACCCTCAACACCTCCACCGACAGCTACATCGCCGAGATCTTGGACTCGGTATGCAAGAAATGGCAGCTGGACAAGGGCAACTACCTGCTCAAAATCATGAACACCAACACCGTCGCACCGCTAGACCGCACCGTTGAGGCCCTGGGCACAAACACAGACCTCGACCTGATCCGCCGCCGTTTTGGCGCAGGCCCGTTGTCTCTCATGGGCTCGCCTGGCAGCTCGTCCCCCAGTGCACCCTTGCTCGTCGACACCAGCACCAACGGGGCCTCGAAGAAGAGCAAGAAGAGCGCCGCCTCACGCATGCTGCATCCTCTCTCGCAGAAGCAGGACGTGATTGTCGGCGGCTACTATAAACGTTACAATGTCATTCGCAAACAGTCCATGTCCTTCACCACGTCCAGCCAGCGCGTGTTGGCGTTTGACAACGACTACATGCACATCATGCCGGCGGAGACGGGCAGGACGCTGTTCGAGGCCAGCAGCAAGACGACGTCGATCTCGTTTTGCGATGTTATTGGGTCGAAGGTGAGCAGGAGGCATCCGAAGAGCTTCCGGTTTGTGGTCGTCAGGGGCGCGGATGCGACGGACCAGAAGAGGTATGACTTTGAGGCGAAGAATGCGGTTGAAGCCATTGAGATTGTCGATGAGATCAAGAAGAACATGGCTCATTACCGGCTGTGATGTGTGTCTTTTCTTATGGGATTGCTACTCGTTCCTGGCTGTGATGTCTACTTGATATGGCTGGTGTTTCTGTCTGTCTGTTCGGTGTTTGTATCTATGGAACGAGGAATCAGGACTCTTGTCGGCTTGGATAGAATGCATTTACTGTGTGTCTGCTCTGTGTTCTTTGGCTGTCTTTATCCTTCTATATCCCCTATATCTCTGTAGTCGCGACTCCTGATATCAAAATCTACCAAACATCACCAACTTCGCCTCAACGTCAACCGCCAACTCAATATAACAGCAGCAGCAGCAGCAGCAACAGTGTACTATTAATATGCTATATCAATAACCTGTATGAACATCTGTCTGATCTCTCCCTCTTTGCTTCTTCTCAACCAGCTCACTGACCTGTGGCGCTGATCGTCTTTCTCGTCCTGTATCTGACCAACTTCGCCAGCTTCGTCTTCACCACCAACCGACTCCAAACCGCATCAAACTCCCCATCTCGCAACTCGTCCAGCTCTGTCTCACGAACTACGCCCTGCCGGCCTCTTATTCTCTTGTCCTCGCCGCTGAAACAGCCCTTGTTCCACCTCTAGCCGGATCCCAGCAGTCTCACCCGCTTCACGGCACAAACGCACTACAACCAGCAGGCCAGAATAATAATAAACAAAACAAAAGAAGACCACCCAGAGAGAGACATCCAGCAGACGGTCTCGAGAACAGCTTTTATCCAGCGTAAACAGGCTCCTCGAACAGCCTCGCCCGCCGCAGCGTCTAGATTATCCAGCCGTGTTGCCACGGAGCGCGGGAGGCGTTGCTGTCCCTCTCGCTGGCCCTGCGACCAACCAACCTCGCCCTATATCTGTCGTCATTATAACCGGAGCAGATACACCGCGGCCAGCTAACTACGTAACTGCAGCCATCGCCAACTAGTTTTAGTTAACGAGCGAGTATCTATACTTCCGTCCTCGTTATCGCCCTGTCCTGCGTCCGCCGATAACGTTTTTTCGTGCTGCATCCTCGCATCCTCGCAAGCAACCCCGGTGCCTCTTGGGCCTCGTCTCTTCCGCCGCCGCCTCCCTCCTCTTAGTTAACTAGTCTACGATACGAGACAAAGCAAACGAACGACTCTCGACACGGCGGGCTGCTTCTGTTCCATGCCGACCTTTGGAGGC